TGCTGCCTGGTTATCAAAAGATATAGCATCTGGGGTCTTAAAGGCTTGAAGATAAACAAGCAGTCATCTAGCTGAGAACTAACTAAGCCCACATGGAAGAAGCCCACAATCTGTGTGAACATGAGGCATCGATAGGATCAGGTATCAGGCATCAAAGACCCAGAACAAAAAAATCTTATCAATGTTAATGAGGGGGAAGGCGGCGTGCTGAGACCCAAAGCCCATCTGTAGACAATAGGACATCCCCTCATAGAAGAGTCACGAGGAAGGGATGAGCCAGTCAGGGTGCAGTATAACACTGACAAAACATACAAGTTTCCTTTAGATGTTTAATGCTTCCTCCCCCGACTATCATGACCCCAATTCTACCTTACAAATCCGGCTAGACCAGAGCATGTCCATGGTATAGATAAGAGCTGGAAACACAGGGAATCCAGGACAGATAAATCCCTTAGGACCAGTAATAAGAGTAGTGATACCTGGAGGGTAGGGGGAAGGTGGGGAGAGAATGGGAGAACTGATCACAATGATTGACATATACACGCCCCCAGGGGGACAAACAACATAAAAGTGGGTGAACGGAGACCACAGACAATGTAAGATATGAAAATAATAATAATTTATAATTTATCAAGGGCTTATGAGGGAGGGAGGGAAAAATGAGAAGCTGATACCAAGGGCTCAATAGAAAGAAAATATTTTGAAAATGATGATGGCAACATATGTACAAAAGTGCATGATATATAGATTGTGATAAGAGCTGTAAGAGCCCCCAATCAAATTATTTTCTTTTAAAAAAAGAATGTAGATTATGCTTTATGAAGTAATAGAAGAAGGGTTAGAGCACCATTTCAGAGCTTTTAGGCTTTTATATTTCTATCATGTTTTTTTTTTAATTTCATGAAATGTTTGCTGAATTCATTTGTAATTCGCAATTCAATTCCCCATCTATTCTCCTGTCATGGGCCTCTCCTGTTATTGAAAATCTCAATCATTCTTTTAGGACCCAGAACACTACTAACTTGCTCATGTCCCAAGAAAAGTCCCACCCTGTGGACAAAAAGCTATGGGACACAATTCACCCTTCTTCCCAACTGCTTTCACAATGGTATCTGGAGCTAAAATAAGCTGGGATTAAGAAAGTTTGGGCCTCTATTTTATGCACATCACACCACCTTCTGACACCTCCATGTCTTTGTGTATGAAGTGAGCTGCTTAGTCACTAACCAAACCAAAACAAAACTCACTGCCATCAAGCCGATTGCAATTCATAGCCACCTGTAGAACAGGCTACACCTGCCCCATGAGTTCCTGAGCCTGGGCCTCCTCACGGGAGTGGGAAGCCTATTTTCTCCTTCAGAGCACCTGGTGGTTTCTAACTGCTGACCTTGCTGTTAGCAGCCCAATGTGTAACCACTATGCCATCAGGGTCCCCTGGCTAGTCACTAGGGTCCCTGAAAAAAACTGAGTCTACGCTGCTGAGTGTGCATATAGGGGAGTGCTTTAGGATGCCTCCTGGGCTGGCTTAGGGGCCAAGGTTATACAGTAAGGGGGCTGGTGCCTGGGAAACCCAGAGTTCAAACAGAGCTGAGGGTCACAATGAAGTAGGGAATCCGCCCCCACCCCCAACATTTTAGTCTTCCCCCAGCTTGGTAGTGGAATTGGCCCAACTTCTTTATTTTATGCAGGTACGTTTTGGGTTTTGTCATAATGGCGGTTTACTTTCAGCACATGGAAATTTGATGGTGACATGTTCAAGTCAAGGTGTAATTTTTTTTTGTATACTACACCCATTTTTCTCCCTAATTGTCTTATTAGAATAGAATCCTCAAATGCAAGGACGGTCTTGCCTTATCGTTCCCTTATAACTGGTCTCCTGCTTTTCAAAGGCACTGGACGTATTAAAGCCTACTCAGTAAGTTCCCAAACATCGTGAGTTATGTTTGCTATTTACTTTTATCTTTCTTCCAACAGAGTCGTTGTTATGGCTGCCATGGTTAGCCATCCTGCTGTCAGCTCTGGCTCACGGCATTCCAGGTGCAACAGAACAACACATTTCCCTGTCCTGTGCCTTCTTCACAAGCACTGGTCTCCAGGCATCTGTGGTCGTGCCCACCGGCCCAGAGGGCTCGTCTCCCAGCACTGCCTCAGGCAACAGTTTCTGTCATCTGGAGAGCTTGCAATGGTTGCATTTCGAAAATAGGTCATCAGACCTCTATGATCTGAATCTGTGTGAGCTTAGGCACCCTTAGTTGGAAACCTGGCCACCATTGATGACCCTGCTCAGATATGAAACACTAGTGGCAAAATTGTCAGCGTCAAGCTAAGCAGCATGACAATCATACAACAGGTGGGTGGCCCGCAGTGGCACAAACCTACCCTTGATTCACATTCTGACAGTAAATATCCTGTCATATTTCTAGATATAAGGATGGCACCTTATAGAACGAGACGGAAGCCATTCGCTAATGCAGATTGGAGATAACTTTCTTTTCTTTTGGAGAAACTTTCTTGAGTCTAAATCTTAACCATTTCTCTAACTTCTCTCTGAAGAACAGCTTTGGGCACAGAGCAAAGTCGGCTGAACTTGCTTTTGCAAGACTTTCACATTTTTCTTCTAATGACCAGCCCCATAAGCCACCTCCCTAAAAGCACTGAATTTTCATTTCTGAACGAAATGGCATGAGGGATACTTAATGCCCGCTTTGATAATGCCTGAGGCTTTTCGTCAGATCAAATAGCCCAGGTGAGCAAGACCGACTTAGACACATTTAATTGCTTTTCAAGTAACATTGCTGAGATCAAAAGCACTTTCGCTTTCTAAAACAGAAGAAAATTCTTCTTAAAAAATGTAAAAATCACACATCATTCATACACCAAGAGGGAAAGTCTGACACACCTTGGCAGATACCTTATTTGACAAGTTACAGCCATGAGGGGATTTTGGTATCTGTTTCATAAACAGCTGGAAGGTGGAATTTCAAATGAAGGAACAAGGAATGTTTGTATTCTCTTAGCACATCCACTAGACAGAATGCAAAGCCATTACAAGGTGTTGTTGTTGTTGTTGTTAGCTGCTGTCAGTACTTCTCATCACAACCCCATGCCAAGCACAACAGAACTCTGCCTGGCCCTGGACGGACCTCACCCTGACTGCTTTGACGGCTTCACTGACTGGTTGTGGAAGGGAGATCACCCATCCTGTCGTCTTAGTCTGCCTCAGTCTGGGAGCTCTGCTGGAACCTGTCCAGCTTCGTAGCAGCACGCAGCGTCTCCACTAACAGCTGCACACGAAGGGCTCTGACCGGCAATTGACCGCAGGTCTCCTGCATAAAAGGTGAGAATTGTACCACCGAGGTGGACTGAATTGTACATCCTATCAAATCCTACAGATTGGGGAATGAGCTGTCATTGTTCTGTTAATGAGACAGGGTTCGTATAAAGTGTGTCTTAAATCTTTTGAGGGACAGAAACAGACGATACAAGCAAGCAGAGAAGCAGAGATGGAGAAAAAGCCATGCCTGACGAACAGTCCCCATGAGCAGCAGCTCGAACGAGATAAAACAACTTTCCTCCAGAACCAACAAGGTGGGAGAGCCTTCCCCTGAAAACTCAGGTTTTCAGCCTCCAAAACTGTGAGAAAATAAACTTCTGTTTAAGAAAGCCACCCCTGTGGGATTTCTACCACAGCAACACTAGGTAGCTAAGATAACCACTAACCCACTCACTTGTAGTGATGGTTGACTGTTCATCAAGCTTTCTATTCAGAGGTTCTGAAAAGATTGCATGGTAGTGACCAAAAACGGCCTGATTTGTGGCAGGCGGGGGACTGGGTTTGCCACCACACCAATGCACCTGCTCACACAACCATCTCAGGGTGCCAGTTTTGGACAAAAAACAGCATGCCTCTCTTGCCCCACACACCTGACTCAACTGACCTCAGTTCATGCGACTTCTTTTTGTTTCCTTGAATGAAAAGGGACATGAAAGGACAGCAATTTGACAACAAAGAAGAGGTGCAGAAAAAAAATGAGGGAGGTGCTGTCAGCCGTCCAAACAGATAAGTTTGAAACATGTTTCCAAGAATGGAATCACAGATTTGACAAGTGTACTTAGTGTGATGGAGAGTACTTTAAAGGTGATGAGGTTGTTTTGTAAATAAATAAATAGATAGATAAATAAATAAATAAATTTTGTAAATACACAGCTTTGAAAAAAATACAGGTTTTGGGGGGGTACCCCCTCATACACCGAGTAACAACTAAGCAAACCATAGATTCATACCACATCCACATACTGTTTATAACAAGATAAAATGCCCCCGGTTATGAAGTGAACATTATTTCCCACAAATTATATTGAAGGCACCTTTCCAGATACCTGTGAACATCAACTGGTTTGGAAATACGATCCTTGAAGACGTTATCACTTAAGTGAACTTAACAGGAGGTCATACCTGAGTGCAGTGTGCTCCTAATCCTATCTGAATGCTGTCCTAGAAACGAGAAGAGACCTGGACCCAGAAGGATGATGGCCACGTAAAGGGGGGATTAAGCTACAGCGGCATGCCAAGGAACATCTGGGGATGCCAGAAACCGGGAGAGACAAGAGGCATCTTTCCCCCAGAGCCTTTCGGGGGGAAATTGAACTTCTGGTCTCCAGAACTGAACACTAAATTTCTTTCTTGTGAACCATTCAGCTCATTGGTCCAGCGACACGGGGGAGAGCCAGGACTTGACAGGCCTGCCTCCTTTTCCGGGTCTCACCAGTTCTCTGCCTGTGCCAGGTGCAGTCCTGCAACCTTTCTATCGCTCATTGCAGGGCAAACGTTGGCGTTTTCTTTGGGATCATTTCTGTCTTTGCTGTTTGACCATATGTGGTGATGGTCGTCCTAGGAAACATATAACTCCCAATCCACTTGGTTGCTTTTGTTACTTTCAACCCTATTTTCTACCCACTTGTCATTTCTCCTAAAACACAATGAAGGACGAAGATGGCTATTACAATGCATGCCTTTTTATTAAAGAGGTGTGGGTAAATTAAACTCCAATTGACAACTCTCTATTGACGACACACATGCCTCTTTCCTCCAAGGAGCAAAAACATGCGAAACCAAAAATCTTCAGCACAATTCACCAGAAAGCACTACAAAATTAATGAGTCCTACTAATTCAAGAGAAGATACTGTACACTAAGCACACATTATGGTAGAGAATTAATAGGACCAACCTAAGTATTCCAATTATAAAGGTTACATGCTGGGCTGTGATCTGAAAGGTCGGCAGTTCAAAGCCACCAGCCACCCGACAGGAGAAAGCAGGGCTTTCTGCTTCCATCCAGGGTTCCATTCTCGGAAACCCACAGGGGCACTTCTGTGTCCTATAAGGTACATGGACAGGATGACTGTGTTTCAAGGTAAGCAATACCCGACACCCTTCAGTAAGTCATGGTAGCTTCTTTCTTGTCAGCATTTGGTCGTCAAATAATTTGCTCAACAGAAAGAATTATCTAAACTAAAACTGTTACTGAGGCTGCATTAGAGTTTCCCACTAGTCTCGAAGGCAGTTTGACTTTCTGCTGGTTAATCTCAGAGAATCAGTCAAGTGACAGGATTTCTCAAATGCCACTGTGGTGTTTCCGTTCAGAGAGAGCAGTGGCTTCGGGTGCTCGGTCCACCCCCAGCTCCAAGCCTTCCCTCCTCACACCCATTCAGACTTCTTGGCTCCCAGGCAGGCCGCACTGCTGGAACTGGACAGCCGGTCCTGCGGCTGGAGCTTGCTGGAGGCATACTGCCCCGCCAGCCGGCTCCGGGGAGCTGAAGGGGGCCCTCCCCAGTTAGAGGGGCCTTCCGTCCCTGGGTCCTGGGTGACCCCTCTGTGCCCTCTGCCCCGGAGCCCTTGATGGGCACTGGCCAGCTCCTCACTGGCCAAGGACACCACCTCCCTCCCCGCCTCGTCTGGAAGCTCCATCCTCCCAGACATGCCCGACTTCTCACTGGGGCTGTGGAGGTGGGGCCCGGCGTCCTCCTCTGCGGCCCACAAGCCTGGGCACGTGGGCACCTTCACCCCCTCCCCCTCCTCCCACCCAGCGTCCTTGCTGATGGGACGACGCTCCTCCACGTGGCCCGCGAGGGAGAGCAGGGCGAGGTGCTCCCTCCTGCAGGTAGCAGCGGCCAGCCGCCGGCGCCCCATCCTCCGCACGCTGCCTATTAGGTCCACGACGCTGAGGAGGAAGGACAGGCCGCTGACGCCCCAGGTGAACAGCATCATGATGGACTTTTCCGTGGGCCGGGAGACGTAACATTCCACCTTGCTGCCGCAGGGCGCGGCGGAACAAGAGAATTTCATTGGAACCACGAAGCCGAAGAGGATGTAGTGCAAGGTCCCGAACGCGGCCTCGATCAGGATGCGGAGCAGCAGGTGGGCGACGTAGCCGGGGGAGAAGTCTGGGATGGCTAGCATCCTTTGGGGCGACGGGTCCGGGCCCCCTGGGCGGCTCTCGGCCCGGGAGCGTCGGAAGACCGCGTGCATGGCTCCTCGGTGGAGCACGTAGACGCTGAAGAGCGAGTAAGGAAGGAGGACGGACACGCTCTGCAGCAGCCAGAACCGGAAGTGCGACACCGGGGAGAAGCTGTCGTAGCAGACATTAGCACACCCTGGCTGCAGAGTATTGCAGACAAACTTTTCCTGCTCGTCTTGGTAGATGGGGTACCCTGCCAAAATGATCATCAGCATCCTCAGCAGGATCATGACGACAAGCCAGAGCTTTCCTGGAGAAGAGGAAGCAGGAATGAGCAGCAGTGTCCCATGTCATCCCTGGGCAGCTGAGAAGGATTTACTGGGCCGAGAACAAAGCAATCCACAAGCACCAAGTAGCACCTGTTTGCTTAATCACAGAGCCAGCCAGTCTGCTCAGTTGGCAAATATTTATCGAGCCCCTAAAAGGTGTCAGCCTCTGTACTAAACCCTATTTGTAAAATGTTGTATGGTTAGCAAATTAAAACAGGCATTCTGTACTAAGAAATATTCTCATCTCAGTCTGCTGACTCCGCTTTTTGGTACTATCCCCCACACTAGACAACCTAGAAAAGATACTTATAAACCAGATCTTACTCTTTTTAGGGGAATACATTTTTAAAGGATGTCAGCATAGTCCTGGAACTGCACACACACAGGTCTAGCAAATAAAGGTATTCTATTTCAGTAAGTCGTCTCTATCTGTGATCCTGGTCCACCGATCTCTGTTTTATAGGGTTTGTGCTTAATGTTGCTCTGTAGTCCTTGAAATTGAATTTCGTTAGCAACATGCCCTTTTTTCATAGGTTTCGATAATGCAGCCATTTTCCCTTTTCCAATTAATATGAATTCTTCGATTCATCGTGAATAAATGAGACCAGCTAGAAAACCAAAGTAACTTCAAAGCTCTATTTTCATGCCACGGGCCAACTGTTAGGGAACATGTTTGAGACGCTAAAGAATTTGAAAATATTGCATCACTGATACCTGAAAACAAGAAATCATCTAAACTCTCACAATAATATCATTACGTGATATAACCCTCGAATCAAACTTTTAAGAATTAATTCATTTGTTTACACTTTACACAGTCATGAGAAAGAAAAGTATCAACCCACCATGTCTCAGGCTATCTTAAAGTTTTTCCAAATTCTTTTTTTTTTTTCTGTGACATCTGAACCTTGCCTTATCTGAAACAAACTAAGGCATCTTTAGTACTTTGGTTGTTGTTTAAAAAAAAATCTCAGTTTACATTGAGATTTTGGTTTCTTTACACTGGAGAAAATACAAATCTGCATAAACTAGTATTAGTTAATGGACCGTTAATTAAGCTGTCAAGATGAAATCTTAAAAGATGAGCCAGAGGAGCAGCAGAAAGTCGGCATTCCCTTTGCCTGAACTTTTACTGTCCTGTTCCTTTCCTGGTATTGTGAGCCAGAGAACACTTACACCAAACTCCTCCCCCATCTGGTTTAGCCTTCACCCATGACGCTCAGAGGCCAGGGAAGAGATTCTCAGTGAGAGAAATAGTATATAATTTCTCTCCTGACTTCTTATCAATGAGGAAGAAAGAGGCTGGCATCCCCAGCTCCTTGGACTCCAGCAACAGACAGGCCTTTCTCTACCAGCGACCAGCTGAAGGGAAATTAAGGAATAACTTGATCTTTTGAGAAGACCTCACTTCCAGAAGGGCAAAGAAGAAAGCAAAAGAACAAGACGTTCGAAGGGTTTGTCTGTTTTCCCAATACTCACCTACAATAGTCACATTGTAATTTAACGTGGTGATTAGAAAGCCCAGCAGGTCCAAAGGTTCCATGCTTTGAGACTGTCAGACTCCAGGCTGCTGGAGACGCTGTGTTTCCCACAATGTGCAGGAATCAATCTATTTTAGCTACAAAAAGACTTAACTGTGAGGCTTGGAGATATGAAGCGGAAGGGTTGAGCACCGGAGGAAGTGGCCAGCTTTAACGTCTTCACGTTTAGAAAGCCCAGAGCTATTTGCCTGTGAGGCAGTGCATTCCTGACAACTGCCTGGACCAGAAGACGGCAGCAGGAGTCCTGTCACACTGTCGGCTATTCTTACCCCGAGGGGCATTCCAGGCCCGTGGCATTGCTCAGATGCCTCCACCAGGAGAATCAGACAGTTCAGGATAAAATAGAAGTGACCGCTTTTAACTCAAGGAAGAAAACGTCTGTTCACCAGCCTAGAAACTTCTCAAGGAAAAAGAGTGTGCCCTCCTGGAATATAGTATGCTGAATGGAGGTCAATCCCAAATGGACAAGTATTGTATCAGCGGTTCTCAACCTGTGGGTCGTGACCCCTTTGGGGGTCAAACGACCCTTTCACCAGAGTTGCCTAAGACCACATATTTCCGATGATCTTAGGAAATGAGACCCCTCTCATTTATCTCCAGGTGGGTCTGCTCACATGCAGATACACTCACATACCAGTACCCGCGTAAAGTCTGTTACCCATGCTTCAATGTTTCATTTATCTGTCATTAGAAATAAATATTTCACGATCTATAATTACATATTGTTTTTTGTGATTCATCACTATGCTTTAATTATGTTCAATTTTTAACAATGAAAATACTTCCTGCATAGCAGATATTTACATGACAATTCGTAACAGTAGCAAAATTAGTTATGAAGTAGCAATGAAAATAATTTTATGGTTGGGGGGTCACCCCCGCATGAGGAACTGTGTGAAAGTCTCTAACCTTCCATTAGGAAGGTTGAGAACCCCTGTATTATATGATCTCAAAGGGCCTCGAGCAGACAGATGAGGGGAAGTGAACAGTGATTAGCGAAGGCAGGAGGGAGTCATGGTAGGAGCATGGAGTGTCCGTGTGGGATGCGGGGGATGTGGCCATAGATATTGATGACATTTGCCCACACGGTGGTTGATATGACGGGTGCCACCGAATTTGTACACGAGAAAAACATTGTTTTATGTCTTTTACAGCAACTTTTAATAATGGGTGTTTTGCTCTTGAAAATATTTCCACAGCCCCTCTTTGTTACCCAACTCCTAAAACGTTTCGCCATAACTCTAATGCCCTTACCCTGATTCTTTTAACGTGGATGCAGCATCTGTCTGTGCCCTGGACTCCGGTTCCACTCTTAGGTTACAACACCATTATTTTCAAGTTGTTCCCTGTGAGGATTAGTGAACCCAGCTCTTCCCCTGGAGGCAAGAGACCTGAGCTGGATTTAAGCTCTAGTTACTCACTCCAAATGAAGTCTTTCCAAATACCCTCCTCTTCCAAAGGGAAGACTCGTGCCACTTGGCTCAGGACTCGGGTGAGGCTCCCTGAACGCAAATATTGGCAGCACCTGACACAGAGCAGGCCTGCAATGCCTCCCAGCAGAGACACTGCACTCCCTGACTGGCCTGTAAAGCCTTCATAGAATACCTCTTCCTTTTGTATCCCTCAGCCCCTTCTAGCCCAGGACGGCGCCCACTGAATCTGCTTAATAAATGTCCTTTAAGTGTGTAGTAAAATATCCACATGGCATAGACCTGCTGACATCAATCACACCTGCATCAAAATCCTACCGAGGCTGTCACCTTTGTATCTGGGAAGACTCCGTCCTGCAAGGCAGGAGATCTGTCATCAGGAGGAAGAGGGTGAACTTGAAAAGGAATGATTTCAATTTCCCATTAAAGCCATTCTTCCTATTCCAATCTTTTCCTCATTTCTGACCTATGCTTGACTTTAGTAATAGCCCCAGAACGAATCCCAGAAGAGAAGGACAACAAAGCCACTTTCATCCGTACTCACCTGCCGGGGTCCCATCTGTGGAAAACATTCTGACCCCCTTGAAAGGAACAGTAGTTTTGCTCTATCTTAGTCCAGTGCTTTAACTAGAGCAATGAATGCAGCAAAATTGAACTTAAGTAAAAATATTTTAGATGGTTATATGGCTCCAATGTAAAAGAATGAAAAGTACCTTTGTTTCCTAAGAAGCTACTGATGATATTGGCTTAAACATTAAAATATCAGAAAAGCAATGATTACATTTTGCTGGGTGACGTAAATAGCCCGTTCCAAATGACGAGTAAATTCGGAGTCAAACTCAGTGCTGTCGAGTCCATTCTGCGTCCTCACAACCCTGTGAGACGCAGGAGAACGGCCCCTTGGATTCCCAAGGCTGGGACTGTTTATGGGAGCGGAGAGCCTCATCTTTCTCTGACAGAATGGCTGGTGGTTTCAAACTGCAGACCTTGAGATTAGCAGCCCAACATGTAACTCGCTAGGCCACCAGGGCTTTTCTGTTCTTGTTGTTCGGTGCCATCAAGTCCGTTTCAAATCACGGTGACTCTAGGAACAACAGAAGGAAGCACTGCCCGGGCCTGGGGCATCCTTATAATTGTCCTTACATGCATGGTTGTCCGTGTTTGTAGCCCCCATGTCGATCCATCTTGGGGGGGGGGGCTTTCCTCTTTTGTTTTCACCTCGATTCTCCCAAGCAGGATACTTCTCCAGAGCCTGGTCTCTCCTGACGACATGCCCAAAGTACATGAGAGAAAGTCTGACCGTCTGACATCTAAGGGGTCTTCTGGTTATATTTCTCCCAAGACAGACTTGTTTGTCCTTTTGGCAGTCCACGGTACTTTCAGTATTCTTCACCAGCACCACAGTTCAAACAGACCGATTCTTCTTCGTCTTCCTCATCCAATGCCAACTTCACATGCATATGTGGCGATTGAAAATACCATGCTTGGGTTGGGTGCATCTTTGGGTTAGTCCTCAAAGTAACATTCTTGCTTTCCAACACTTTAAAGAGGTCTTGAGCAGCAAATTGGCCCAATGCAATGCGTCTTTTGATCTCCTGACTGCTTCTTCCATGGACATTGATTATGGATCCAAGCAAGACAAAATCCTAGACAACTTCCAGCTGTTCTCTATCGTGATGTTACCTATAGGTTCGGTTGTGAGGATTTTGGTCTTTACATTGAATGAAAGCTGCACTCCTTGATCTTCATCAGCAAGTGCTTCAAGTCTTCCTCACTTTCAACAAGCAAGGCTGTCACCTGCATATAGAGGATGTTAATAAATCTCCCTCCAATCCTGATGCCACACTCCTCTTCATATAATCCAGCTTCTCCAATTGTTCACTCAGCACACGGCTTTAGAACTCCTTAATCTTGAGCAAAAGGAGTCCTAGTGGGGCTTGTCTGCTAAGTGTTGGCTTGCTAACTGAAAGGTCAGTGGTTCAAACCTTCCAGCTGCTCCAATGGAAAAAGATGATACTATCTATTCTGTAAAGATTTAGAGCTGTTTCCCAAAGTGGGCAATACCATCCACTGGGGGGAGGGGAGGTGCTAGAAGGATCCGAGGGTGTACAAAAGATACCTGTACTTTATCCTGGACTATGGGCTATAGTACAAAAGTTTTCAACTGCCAAGGAGGCACTGATCAATTTTTTTTTTTTCTGAAAAGAAGGCAGTAGCCCAAATAAATTTGGGCATCTATGATTTAGAGCAAGGGTCCTCAAGCTATACTCCACGGGCCACATGCGGCTGGCTGAGGACATTTATCCGGCACGCTGGGTGTTTTTGCCCATTTTTGGTATTTTACTTCAAAATAAGGTATGTGCAGCGTGCATAGGAATTTGTTCATAGTTGTTTTTTTAACTATAGTCTGGCCCTCCAACGGTCTGAGAGACAGTGAACTGGCCCCCTATTTAAAAAGTTTGAGGATACCTGATTTAGAGCCTCAAAAATCCTACTCAGAGTTTCCATGAGTCCAACGTGACTCAGTGGCAGTGGGATTGGTTTCTTGGTTACCTTTGAGCAAGTGACTAGAGCCTTTCCACTTGTTGTCTCATTTGTGACGTAGAAAAAAAGGCTCCGACCTGCTCCAAGTGGTGGGGATAAGCAACTCGAGCTCCTTCAGCCGTAACCAGGAATGAAGCCCTTATACAAACTGTAACCGGGATGAGCCTGGAGATCATTATGTCAAGTACAAGAAACCCATACAAAAGGCTACATACTGTAGGAATGCATTGATGTGGAATCTTCAGAATAGGTCAAGCCATAGAAACAGAAGGCAGAGGGGTAGTTGCCAGAGGTTGGTAGAGAGTGGAATGTGATGCCACGCGGTTGCTGGGTTTGACTTGGGAGGAATAAAAATGCTCGGGGCGGATGGAGATGATCATGGCACCACACTGGGAATGGACGAAATGCTGATGTTCGCTGGAAAATGGCCAAAGGTATGGGATGTACATGCCACCTCAAAATTTTTAATGAGATGACAGACATGAATATGACTTTAAAATACAGAGAGCTATACACACGGCAGTGACCAGTTCACCTGGAAACGAGCCGTTCCTCTGGGTTTGGAGCCATTCACTGCTTTTCCTTTCGCTTCCGACTGCCAACGTGGCCGTCCTGTTCCCCCTTCGCATTCCTGCCACCTTCTCATCTTGTCTTGTTCTCTGTCCTTCAAAAGTGGCCTCCTTTTTTTCCTTTTCTGTTTCTCCAACTAGGAGACATTTTAACTTTAACTGTAAATTCTCACTCTGAAATGAGCTGATACCAAGGGTTCAAGGAGAAAGCAAATGTTTTGAGAACGATGATGACAACAAATGTACAAATGTGCTTGATACAATGGATGGATGGATGGATTGTGATAAGAGTTGTATGAGTCCCTAATTTAGAAAATAATGATGGCAACATATGTATAAATATGCTTGATACAATGGATGTCTGGATTGTTATATGAATCATGATCCCAGTTCTACCTTACATATCCAGCTGGACCGGAGGATGTACACTGGCACAGGTAGGAACTGGAAATAGAGAGAGTCCAGGACAGATGAACCCCTCAGGACCAGTGGAGAGAGTGGCGATACCAGGAGGGTGGAGTGAAGGTGAG